CGCGTTAGTCTAATTTAAATGAGTAATAGTCTGCCGTCTTACTCCCCAAATTCGGTTCGAATTTGTTTTTGTTTTCGATTCGAACTCACTCTTGATTCGAAGTCGATTTGAAAAGCTTACTCCCGAACCGAATCGAAACTAGAAATGAGATCGTGCTTTATCGAATCCGTTAACTGTATCCGGCCTATTACGTCACGGACAAATGTTCCATGTTCAAACCCGTTATAACGTCTTTTTTTAGATAAAATGTTAATAGGTTATTTTTTCCGAAAAATTATTCGAATTTAGTTAATTCCAATTAGAGCCACCACTCGATTGTGCGCTGGCGTCAGATTCAGTGGTACGAACTGTCATGAATTCGAGTCAAACTCGATTGATTCAGAACTCGAATCTGTCGGGAGTAGGCCTGCTGGTGGTAGGGCCACGCAACAGTTTACGCTGTTGCACGAACGGGCCGTCCGGGGAAGTACCACAACCTCACAAAAGACCCGCGTGAAGTGGAAGTGTTATACTTCTTCGTTTCGTCTCGTGAGTGAGGTAGCCGGGGCCCACTTCATTCAAAGGTGGCAACGCGTCTGAAACCTTACGGGCGCTGCAATTGTCCGTGGGTGGCGGATATCACTTAACATCAGGTGAACCGCCAGCTCACTTTATATATATATCATCATCATCATCATATCAGCCGTAGGACGTCCACTGCTGAACATAGGCCTCCCCCATTGACTTCCACTTCGACCGGTCGTTAGCGGCCTGCATCCAACGCGTCCCTGCGATCACTGGCTTGGTCGTCCGTCCACCTTGTGGGATGCCTTCCTACGCTGCACTTGCCGTCACGTGGTCTCCACTCGAGAACCTTTTTGCCCCAACGGCCATCGGTTCTTCGAGCTATGTGCCCTTACCCACTGCCATAATAGCCTGCTGACTCGCTCTGCTATGTCGGTAACTCTAGTTCTTCTACGGATCTCCTCATTATATCTGTAATAATATTTAAAAAAAATTAAGTGGGGCAGCGAAGAGAACGCTTTAACGTAACAAACGCACGTTAATAAACCAAATTCAAATTTCAAGTACGATGCCACTGCACCTCACGGTGAAGTCACTCACTTGCTTCTTATGTTAATGATGAATGCACATTTCTATTTCTATCGAATGATTTACTCTTTAAATTTCTGATTAAGCCCTCAGGCCAAAGTCGAGGTTCCGTAAAGCCCAGGAATTACTTTATCCCATAATATTGCTGTACAGGGATAGGGTCGCAAGTGAGCTGGTACACCTTATGTTAAGTGATCCTCGCGGCCCTTAGACGTTTAATGCACCTACGGGGTTGATAAATTGCAATTCTTTAAATTTTTGGACCGCCAATATTAATTTAACTCTAACATTTGATACCCTTTTTTATTTTCACTAAATCTCCTATAACTTTTAAGCGAGCTTGGTCAGAAGTCTGAGGTTGAACTTCTTTGCGTCAAATCTGTCGCGTAACGCGTTTCAACGGACCCGTATAAGAATCAAAGAGGTCCTTTATAACGCACCTGGGCGAAGGCGTAATTTGTAGAGTCCCGAGAAATAAAAAAAAGCGCTCTCAACCGACCTCCAAAAGCTCCGCCCTAACACGCTAGGAAGTTTACACCGCCGCCCCTCGTTCCGTCCCGCTCGCACATCTGCCGTCCCTGTCGGCCGCCTTGAAATGACACCCACCTTTGTCATTTGACCCCGAGACGTCAGTGCAGTAGGGTGTGCTGAAAGTTTTGTTTTTTCGCTCTCCGAGTGTCAAATTATGAATGGAATCCAGTGTCGTTTTGATGAATTGAAAAGTGCGATCGTTTAACATACAGTTCTCATTTAATTTTCGATTAAGGTGAGTGTTTTTCTTTGTTTCCATCTTATGTAAAAAAATAATCGATTGCTTTTTTTTTATAAGGGGTTCCTTTTTAGTAGCGATATATTTCATGATTATTATCATTTAAAATGTTTTTACACTTAGAAACAGAACGTTGATTTCAAACGCTTATTATTAAACACTAATCATATAAGGATTTCTTGTATTTAAGCGAGTCCTTCCGTTACCATAAACACTGTAGTATTCCAAATGTAGGGAAATTAAAAATAAATGAGACGCGACAATATCCGTAAAACTGTTTTATTGAACCTGTTAGGACATATATAACTTAAAATCCTGAAAGAAAATAACTGTACTTAACTCTGTACTTTTATACATAAAATCTATTGGATGCTAATTGGCTTTTATTAAAAAACTTTAAAACACTAAACAGAAAAGGACATAAAAATGAATCGTAATTAAACGTTCGCAGAATTGAGATTAAGAAAAAAAAAATAAAGAAAAGGTGTTTTGTTTACGTTATAGAAATATTGATTTTTATTTTTGGTACATTTATCAAATTCCTTAATAAATATGCAACACTGAACTGGCAATATGTGCCAAGACACATGAATATCTTGAGCCCAACGCCTGAGTGATTGTCTTTTTATTTATTTAGTACAAAAACTTTCGGCGTTCCGGTATTCGAACGAGCGTCTGCCATACACTTTACTAACAAAACTAAGCCACCGATAGCCGACATCGGCATCCCGCTTTTTAAAAGTTTTTAATCAGGTAAATCTAGCATAGCATAGCAAGCTTAGCATTATATCACACAAAACTTATATAAAGCCAAGATATACTACGATAAACGTCAGATTCTCGCTAAAGACGGAATGGTGATTTTCGAAGACATTGAAATAAAATAACTTCAATAGAGGATGGATAGTTCGTCACGACCGTTTTTGGTTTCTCTAAAACACAATTAAACAGCGCGCTAACTTCGCAAGACAATAAATACCTAAGACAACAAATCAATCAACAATATCCCGTGCGTACGAAAATAAATAACTGTAAAACTTCACGGTAGCTACGTTAACCGCGACACAAGGATTAAACTAACTCAGTCGCGTTTTGGATGCCGTAAAATTGTCTTCGGAAGCTATAATCAAAATTATAACCGACGAAGTATATGGAACATTCTAAAATGTTCAATTTTCGGCCTGAATTTTAGGCGTGCTTAAATGAACTTTATTTTAGTAGAATAATTTTCGAAAGATATTAGTCATTTTTCATTCAATTTGTACAATGATTTGTATAATTATAATATATTTTGGATTGATACAGCTTTCAGCCCCTTAAAAATTATTCAACTCGTTTACAAAGATTACAAGAAATTAAAATTTTAAATCTTTATTATATCATACACCAATAAAGAAACCGAAACCTTGTATGACCATGTTTACATTTAGAAATATTCACTATTTGCCGTACGCGGATTTGTCATTTATAACATAACTAATGTTAAAATAGTTTTTTGCGTAGTTCAGTATTATAAATAAGTCTTTGTTTGCAAAAACATGGTGTACATACGTTGCATCCAAGATATTTAATATAGTGTCCTATCATATCCAGCTAGCATCGCGGCATACTACGACAAGAAATTGTGCATGGACCGCGATATTCTTCATTACAAATCAAACAACATTATTAAATGTTATTACATTTCATAACTGTAAAATAATGATATATATATATCTAGATTAGAATAATTTTGACGACCCGTTTCGGTATTGGATAGTGGGTAGTGAACCTGTCTATTGCATCATAGGTTTATAGGTTTAAGGGTTATTAGAAAAATTAATTTGATCTTGATCAATTAATTGCAAGCGAATCCGATGGTAATTGATCACCCATGGACTCTGTCATCATCGGTGGAGCCACAACAGCGTTGCCGGTCTTTGAGGGTCTCTTTTTAAAGGTTCCTAACTCGTATAGGTCTGAAAATACCGCTGGAGACAACTGGTTCCAGATAGTGGCTGTAGGTGGTAGAAAGTTGCGTAAATGGACAGTGGTGGATCGCAAACCATCAAGATGGTGGCGATGACAACAATAAGCTATGCCATTTAGTCGTTCTATAATATTTGGTACAGTAGCTCGACAAACTTATGTAAAACTACTCTTCTCTCTCCTCTTTACTTAATGGTCGTTACGGAGAGAACGCTTGAGATCTTAGGTGTGCAGTTTTGGCTATCTCTTTCTATCACTTAATGTCAAAACGTGACACAATCCACGTGTTCGCTTCGCCGTCACACTGTAGTCTCCCTTACCACAAGAAGGCAGTTCTTCTCTACCGATCGCTTTTATGTACTACGATGTCAACTACACCACAAAACCCCTCTGTATGGGATCGAATCATTATGTACTGATTGTGGTCAAGTCGAAACCAATAAAGAGTTCCCGTAAGTTTTATTGGAGATGATAAACTAGTAGCTGGCATGCTTTTTAAGTGATCACCGCGGCTCATGGAATCTAAAGCACATATGTCAATCTTAATGAAGTCCTAGAACTACTAAGAACTACTAAGAACTAACCAAAAGAAAAGCAAAATTCAAAATTACGTCACTTTTAAATTTAAATACTCAAGTCTTCAATTTAGTAATTAAAAAACTAAGGTACTTCTAGAAATTAAATTATTATTTGTATACTATTATATTTCATGTTTTTGTACTGAAAGGAAAATTTGTCACTACCATATTAAAATTTATAATAAAACGTGAACAAATTTAACAAATATCGAAAAATTAATATTTTTATGCCAACAACAACATTGGGCTATATAGGAAGCTTCAGCAGTTTTGAATAATTTGAATTACGTAGAGGTAGAGATTACGCGAATTGTAGGAACTTTGACGAAGCCCAACCCAAACATGCAATTCAAAAATAATAATCGATTTGCCGAATGCGATTGTTTGTAAAAATACCTCCGGTTAGTGTCGTCGGTTGTTATGGAAACATACGAGTTATTTTTACTCGAATGCTTGAAATATTTAAACGTCAAACTGACAGCGTACATCCGTTGGCGCGAATCGAAGTTGACCAACATTCGAAACGTGAAAAGTTAAGTTTTTTTTTCATTACAGACACGCGATCAAAGAGGTTTGTAATGAAATCGACGAATATGGAGTCCTGCTCGGACCGCCTGAGTCCGTCGAGCGACTTGACGAGCGAGTCGGAAACATCCCTTCCTCCCTTTCCTTACGACGGGCAGACCGGCAACTTTTACGCGCAAACCGAAACCGTAGACAAACAGTACTTCCCCTGCAAACAGAAGTCGCCAAAAAACGAGGAGAGGAAAGATATATATCTGCAAGAGAGCAACAAAATATTCGAGAACTATATAAACGGCAAAAAACATTTAATATTCGACGTAAAATTGCCATCGACCCAAGAGAGCTTTTTCTCTCAGATAGAAGGCGAAGACCGCACGCTGCGTTCAGCCTACTTCGATGAGCAGAACATGAAGAGTTGCATTCAAAATGAGAACAATCCGAATCTGACGGAAATCGTGGTCAACACTCAGGCGAATTACGATGTCAATAATACTGGTATTGACAGAGAGCGGTCGCAACAGACTTTCTTCGGTGATACAGATAACAATAACATGCGGAGATGTCTAAATTTCAATTCGGAGCAAGTCCAGTGCGTGTGCGAGGCGCTGCAGCAAAGGGGCGATATAGAGAAACTGGCTGCATTTCTGTGGAGTTTGCCGCCCAGCGAACTGCTTCGAGGGAATGACACGGTTCTAAGGTATTATTTTTAACCGACTCCATAAAAGGAGGAGGTTCTCAATTCGACTGTATTTTTTTTGTGTTTGTTACTTCAGGACTTTCATCTGAGTGAACTGGTTTTGATAATTCTTTTTTTTTTATTTGAAAGCTGGTGCTTCCGTTTTGGTCCCGTAATAATTTCATTGGTATTGGATCTTGGACTCCGGATATATTTAGGCAACTCGAAATAATCAATTATATAATGAACACAGAGCTAGATATTTGAAGTCAGTTTTGTTTATCGTTAATAAAAATGGACTTGTCTCCATAATAATTGGTAGCTAGTGAACATAGCGTATGCATGATCAGTTCAAGATATTATTTAAGTATGTTATTTGTCAAATTATTTTATATACTCATCATTATATTATTAGAAAATATTATCAGACCCAATTTGCTTATGATAAGACTCCACACTTTAAGAATAGCAAAAGTAAAAGCCTACAAATTTCCCAGTTCACATATTTTCGAAATATTTATTTCGAATTAATAACATTCGAAAATACGCAGTCACGATGTTTTCCTTGACCACTGAGCACGTGATAAGTCAGCATATTAAATTAACAATTTCATTGGTGCCGGCACCGGGGATCGAACTCAGATTCCTCGAGTAAATTGAATGAAAGGCGAGCGCCCGGACACTGAGCTATCACGTCACACATATTAAGAATAGAAATTAAACAAATGTTGTATTCCATAGAATAGACTACACGATTATGGAGTGTAAATTAATTTCATATCAAACAAATTTGATTTTCGTGGCGTGATACTAAAAAGCTTACAACATTTTTTCAATATATTTCTAGGGCCCGCGCTCTGGTCGCATACCATAGAGGAGTGTTTCAAGAGTTGTACGCCATTTTGGAATCGCACACTTTCCCGCCACGTCACCACTCGGGCCTACAAGATCTGTGGTTCAAGGCGCATTATAAGGAGGCGCAAAAAGTTAGGGGGCGACCTCTAGGTAAGGTTTTACACGTAAGAAGTGTATAGTGTAAAATTAAAATCTGAATAGTTAATAGAACCCACAACATTCGAGTTTGATAAATTTCTTCTTTTTAAACTATAACGGAACCAACCACAATTTGCTGAAACGTGCTACAGTTTGTCGGTAGCAACACGTTGATACAACGAGCATAAAAATACGAGAACAAACAGAAATAAACCTTATGGGTATGGAAATAGTCTGCTTGGACCACTCACCTCAGTACACTTCGGTAGTTGTCATAAAACATAATTTCTAAATATATTTCTATAATACAAAATAATGATTTACTGAAGAGTGTCCGAAACAAATTAAAGGCGACGACGTCGTCTATTTTCCATCAAAAACGAGAACTCATAAAATAAACAAAGGGTTCTTTTTCAATGTAAATTATTTGTAAATTGCGACTTTCCCTGGGATTTTTAAATTCCTTGTTTCTCCAAAAGTTCTGCAATGTAGCTCAATGATCCACATCTTTTACATCGCATCATTTTCTGCATGGTTTTTCTGTCCCCCTATACAGGAGCCGTAGATAAGTACAGATTGAGGAAGAAGTACCCATTGCCGAAGACGATATGGGATGGCGAGGAGACGGTCTACTGCTTCAAAGAGAAAAGCAGGAACGCCTTAAAAGACTGCTATTATAGGAACAGGTGAGCTTTTAATGCGTTTGAAAAGCAAGGGATTAGAGAAACGTTTCATTTGTCTCGGATAAAGAAAATCAAAATCGAATCGATCAACCAAAAAGGAAAGAATATTAGATCAAATTCACGAGGTAAACACCTGAAGTCAGAAATTACTATTTTAGAAAGTTAGTATTTATTCTTGATTCTAAATACAAGATTGGTGATTTTGAGGAATGTACCGTAACTTTTTTTCTCTCCTTTGCCTTTGGGAAATATTTCTTAGTCTGTGTTACTATCTACGAGTTGGTTAGTATTATTTTTTTATGTGAAACGGTGGCAAACGGGCTGGTGTTAAGTGATAAACGCCACCTATTGACATTTGCATCACCCATAGGGTGTACAGATGCCACCTTTTAATAAGGTTTTTTTTATGCGAAAAGTTGTCAAACGAGCAGACGGTTCACCTGATGTTAAGCGAATACCGCCGCCCACGGACATCTGCTACACCCGAGGGTTACAGATGCGTTGACAACCTTTTTAAAATTGGGTTCAGGCTACCTCACTCACCAGACGAAACGCGAAAGTATTTGTCATCCTTCTACTTTACACGCTGGTCTTCTGTGAGGTCGTGGTACTTACCCGGACGGGCCTGCCCATTCTTGCAACAGCGAACTGTTGCGTGGCCCCACCACAGGGAAATCTCTCCTTTGCCTTTGGATCATATCTCGGATGCCCGGCTCCTATATTCAACGAACGGCCGTTATTTACATAGCTTCGTAACTGTCACAACGACTTGTTGATAAAAGGCGTATACGACCGGTTCCTATTTTAACAGAACGAGGCGTTTTCCTTACGAGCCGTTGCATTACCTACGGATAGTGAGTCACTACCGTTCCTTTAATGAACAAGTCGTTATGAAAGCTACGAAGCTATGTAACTAACGGCCGTTCGTTCAAAAACTGGGCACGAGCCCGTTATTTTGGTTGCTAGTTGAAGTGAAGTACAAATTTCGCAGGTACCCTACGCCCGACGAGAAACGCGCGCTTGCCCAGAAGACCGGCCTGACCCTGACGCAGGTCTCCAACTGGTTCAAGAATCGGCGTCAACGCGATCGGACACCACAGCAACCTAACCGGCCGTGAGTAGTGACTACTACTCGCTTCTTTCGATCACTCTACCCTTTTTTTCCGTGGGAAAAATCCCCTGCAACTAGATCGGGGGAGTGGCAGGGGTATGTGGGAGTCCCGGTGAGAAACGGGTACCCACTAAAAACCCACGCTGCACCTGTCTCAGTCGCATCGGCCGGGGACAAGGGAACATATGGACTCAAATCTTCCGCGACTTCGATCACTCTACGGGTGATGCAAATGTCAATGGGCGGCGGTTATTACTCAACATCAGGTGAACCGCCAGCTCGTTTGCCACGAGTTCGTTTGTTTAAGTGGGAAGGTGGCAAGCGAGCTGTCGTTTGACCTGGTGGATAGTGACATCCGCCGCCCATGGACATATGCATAGGGTTGCAGATACGTTGTCTCCTTATAATGTAGTGGGATACCTCAGTCACCAGACGAAACGCAGAAGTACTTCCACTTTACGCCGGTCTTCTGTGAGGTCGTGGTACTTACCCGGACGGGCCTGCCCATTCGTGCAACAGCGAACACTGTTGCGTGGTCCTACCACCTACATGGCTTCGGAGTCGTGGGTTCGATTCGGAACAACTATTTGTGTGTACCACAGTATTCGTACTTTCGGATCTGGATGATTGTCGACTACTTCAACTTTCTTCATTCGATGACTCCGTGGCGCAGTTGCCAAGGCATTGGCTTCGGGGACGTGAGTTCGATTCTGACACGGGACAGCTGTTTGTGTGACCTACAGACAGTTGTTTCGGATCTGGGTGTTTGTCCACGTGAGATTTAAGTTTTTTTTAATGTGAAATGTTGCCAAACGAGCAGACGGTTCGCCTGATGGTAAGCGAATACCACCGCCCATCATCATCATGAACATCAGCTACACCCGAGGATTACAGATGCGTCGACAACCTTTTGAATATTGGGCTCTGGCTACCTCACTCAGCAGATGAAACGCGAAAGTATTAGTCATACTTCCACTTTACGCTGGTCTCTGTGAGGTCGTGGTACTTATCCGGACGAGCCTGCGCCCATTCGTGCAACAGCCGAGGCTTCTGCGTGGCCCTACCACCGTTGTCACGCTCTTACAACACGGATAATATTATCCTGCAGAAAACAAAATGTTTTAAAAATGTTTCTGTTGCAATATTTTTTATAGAATTTATCGCGTTTATTTTTTTTTTTGGTTCCTGACGTTTCGAACCGTGTGTAACCATGAACGCTAAAAAGGTTTCGAAACGGTTACTAAAATAAAAAAATAAATGCTATAAATCTGTAAAACCACTTTTATGTTTTTTTTTGTTTTTAAAAACTTCCAGAAGTAGTTGAACAGTATTTAAATTAATGTACCTACAATTTATGTTTATCAATGTTAGATCTAAATCTATGCAATAAATTATCCGTTGAACTCACATTTGAAGTTTCATCTTGAGGGCACAGCCTAAAAAAAACATACGAGTATCGTAAATTTCAATTGCAATCCGTCTCGTTCAAATATTCACAGTAAAATTTTATCTGAGTATCGGCTTACTGTAAAGTCTCATTACGTGGTGCCAAGCATTGCTAAAAGGGCAAAAAAATAAATAAAATGTACTATATAGAAGTTAAGATTTTCGTAAGGATATCTGGGACTTATATCAGTTGGCTAGAGCTATTAAACTCGCATGTAAAGGACTCGCATCTTTATTTTTTATGAAAATTGTCAAGCAAGCGGGCGGTTCACCTGATTTTAAGCATGGGCATCTACAACACCCGAGGGCTTGTAGATACGTTGACAAACTTTAAAATAGGCCTTGGCTGCCTCACTTTCCAGACGAAACGCAAAAGTTTAATAGTTCCAACCCGCCGGTCTAGTATTTATTTCCCCGTACGCACCTGCCTACCCATTCGTGCAACAACAGAGGCTGTTGCGTGGCCCTGCCACACGATTATAATAATTAGTAAAAATAGTCCAAGAGTGTTACTATTTGAATTCACTATTTGACTTTGACTTACTTCTTTAGCCGTGATAGCTCATTGTCCGGCTCGCTTTAAATTCAATATACTCAAGCAACCTGAGCAACCTGAGTTCGATAGCCGGTGTCACCAACCAGATAAAATCGTTAATTCTAAGTGCTGACTCATATCGAGGAAACTGCATTATTTCGAAGTGATAATCAAAACAAAACATGTTTCGTAGATGTGTGAAGTCCGCCAATCCGCAGTGGCGTCGTGGTGGATTAAGCTCTCTGTACGGAACACTTGTAGGCTGTTTACTTTACTTTAATTAATAGTGAAGAAACAACCGATGTTTTTTTAATTATCTACTTATATAAAAAGGTTTCTTTCGTTTTGAAAAGCACAGACCTATCCCGTTGGCACTGAATTTGGTGCAGTACGAGGTTTGCTATCTATAAGATATACAGAGTGCCGAGAGAAAGAAACAGCCGAAAGTGCGGAAACTAACAGAGACGATCTCGAGGTATACACATGGACAGGTATTTGTTTTACAGAATCGAACCTCGATCCCGTTCGTAATCGGAGACGGCCCGGCGTCGTAAATCCGTTCGCAGGTCAAACATTGTTATTGTTCCGCGCGCGGCACTTCTGACACGTCGCGGGCCAGTACCGTCTCAAGGTCTCTGACAAAAGGCACTATGCGAGACCCTTGCGTGTTGATAATAAATTAACGGTGATAGGGTCGCGTAACGGCGGCTTGGCTTTTTGAAAATCAACATTGTGTGATGATAAACCAGCGGTAGGCCATCTATGACATCTGCGGGTTTGAAAATGCGCTGCCAAAGTTTAAACAAGTGCAAGTCAAGTTCGCGCACGAAGGGTTGCATACTATGAAATTATCTATGAAAACGGTAAAAAATCTGTTGTACGGGAGCCCCGCTTAAATATTTTTAGTATTTGATGTTATAGCGGCAACGGAAATACATCATTTGTGAATGTTTTAACGGTCTAACTATCACGATTCATGAGATACAGCCTGGTGACAGACGGACAGACAGACAACGAAGTCTTAGTAATAGATTCCCGTTTTACCCTTTGGGTATAGTTTCGCATAAAACATGAATCAGCCGCTGTCACCTCTCCTGAATATACTCGTAAAATAATGGCAACTCTAACTCTACCAAGGAACTTTGTCACCTTTCAATTGCAAAAGTCCCATTTATGTCTTTATTACTTTTTAATAAGTTTCAAGCATAAATCCAGAGCTTATCTCATGATACTTAATTGCTATTGAACAAAATAAGAATAAAATTTTTGAACAAAAAAGAAAGAAAATAAAAAAAAATGCTTGACTATGCTCGTGCTAGGCGTGTCTTCCCGCTAAAACAATGACAGGTCCGATAAAAAAATCTATCAACGGCAAACATGTGTCTATAAAGTGACCATTGTTTAATTTTATCTGGATAAACCCTTGCTAATTGTTTTAGTATGTTGTATCCAGTATTTAGCTACAGATTATTTATCTCAAATATGTGTAAATATATGTTATTATTTGAGCACCGTGTTGTAAAGATTCTTAGAACATTATTAAAAAAAATTGTCACTGTGTTTATATAACTTAACTGTTTATATAAATTCATTTAATTATTTCATAATTAATCATCGAATGAAGTTGTGCCATCAAGCCATCAAAACGTCTTAGTCTATTATGCTATAAAATATTTAGGTTTAAAGAATTCATTCTTATAAAAACATAAAAAATTTCAAATTGGCTTAGGCATGTTAAAATCCGTAACAGATAATAATGTATGGACACTGCCTCCATTTTGCATCTCAATGTACTGTGCCGAAGGGCCGTCACGTCATTAGGGCTCATTAATCAATCGGGCACAGATACAGAATAGGGAAAGCACATGTGCTTCAAACAAATGACCAGTTAGGGTCCATTGTTTAAAAAAATCAGGAGACCGTCTGGTTCAGGAATCGCAACAGATTAAAAAGAAAAAACTGGAGGTATAAAAGAACAAGTTGTCATGTTGCTTCCATTTGTTATTGTCAATGAAGTATTTGTCTTAATCACAGGTTTTAGTGTATTTGTGAACTTAAAATTTAAATGTAAGAGACTGACGCCCGGTTTCTGAAACACTGAACATCGTAGATGTGAACTAATCATCTGTCAAAAGGTTTTTCAAATTTCATTTTAATTGTCAAAAAGATGGTTAAACTCCTTGATTTGATAATTTTGATCATAAGGAAGATCATTCTGGTCATGATGGCCATTTAAATGCCATGAAATAGGGATACTCACATTAGAAATTTAAATTTTTTATAGTGCTAATCTCTGCACTTAAGATTGAACATTAAAATTTGTAGAAAAAGTACGAAAAGATTCCCACAGCGGCGGGAATCGAACCCACGTCTTCGGCATTCGCGGCCTGACGCTCTAGCCACTGAGCTAAACGGCTGATATCCACCCCGACGAAAATCTTAACGTCTATTATCTACATTGTTATATCCTTTCCAACATACGAACAATTTCGAATATCGTTTCATAACGATAATTCGAACGAGAGATGACGCCATTGCTTCTTAGAAATTTAAATTTTTTATAGTGCTAATCTCTGCACTTAAGATTGAACATAAAAATTTGTAGAAAAATACGGCAAGATTTTCGCCGCTGTGGGAATAGAACCCACCTCTTCGGCATTCGCGGCCTGACGCTCTAGCCACTGAACTAAACGGCTGATTGCCGTGCTAAATAAGTCTAATCATCAAAATCATCAGGCGAACTTTTTTTTTAATTGATGTTAACGCTTTCAGTCAATCCCGAGACTATTAAAACTTCATCGAAGGCAGAGCCGGTGGGCTAGCCAGAACCTACGGGTTTGAGGCCCTTCACAGTTGGTAGGGCCACGCATGTGCTCATGCTGTCAGGCGAACTACTTGGTCGCTTGTTTATCTGTAACATTAAAAAAATCATTGTTATAATAATTATACTATTAAATTGGAAAACTGTACTTGATTTACAGGAATGATTGTTAGAGCTGTTTAAAAACACATATATGAATTATAAACTTTAAGGAGGTTTCTAAACGAAGAAACAAAACGTATTCCGGGCCAATAAAGTGGCGCAAATTGAACGGAGTAAAGGCGTGTTCTTTTTTAATTTCCCGTATAGCGGCCATTGTTTGAGTTATAGTTTAAGTAGTTCTTTTGTCTACGTTTTATGGGAATTTGGAATGGTCGAAGGTTATAGGGTTTTGTTAATATTGTTTCAGTCAAAAATAACTTAACATTTTAATAAAAAAAAATGGATAAAGTAACAAGTAAATTTGGAAAAAAAAAATAAGAAAATACGTTTACAGAATTTTAGCAGGCACTGTTCTAGGGAAACGTCTAGGTTGTAACTGATAATAATGCTTTTCTTTTATAAATGAATATATATTACAGATACATATAGATAAGCGAGCTGGCGGTTCACCTGATGTTCAGTGATAACCGGCGCCTATTACATTTGCAACACCCGTAGAGTTGCAAATTACGAAAGATGCCTTTCCACCATTTCCGACAGACTTCAATATGTAATATAAAACTTCAGCTTCAAGTCCTTAAAATCGAAATCTCGAGATCGGACAGGATCAACCCTAAAACGCACGTCACTTTGACTTGAATCGAGCGGCGGAAAACAAATAAAGAATTATTTAAAAAAAACTGACATCGTACTTATAATGTAAAATTGGTTTGATTTTGGAATTTCAAAAATAATGAAAGACATATCGAACTGAACACTGGCCGGGATTAAACATCGAAAATTACTTAAGGGCCAATCATATATGACGATTCGTCGATGATATGAATTAGGAAAGGTGGATATTTCGCAACCACTTCCTACGTACAAAACGCGGGCAACGAGTCATAAGAACCCAGGACCACCAAAAAAAAAAAAAGAATAATCAGTGTTATTTTTTAATCTTCAATTCTTGACAGTGTTTCAAATCTTTCGAAAATGTAAACAAAATTTTTCGAAAATGTAATTTGTGTGTTACTGCTGTAAATAATCGCGCGGTGAAGTTATCCACCCCTTAGCTTAGTGTCCAGAGCCTCCCAGTGCGTAATCCGCTGAAGTTCGATTCCTGGAAGCTGAGAAATATTGTTTGGCAGTTTTATCTATAATTTTTTTAGGGTTTCAAAGAAAAATTCGTGTACAAGACCACTTCTTTGTGTGTAAAATATAGGCGTACTTCAGAAAATCCGTTGTTTTTAACAAAACGTTTCTTTTTCAGTGAAATGCTGGTGCCCGCTCAATATGTGGGTAATCAAGGAAGTCTCCCGCAGACTTTCCTTCCGAATGCATACTACCACAAACTGCAAGATGCGTCCCATTACCTACATGGAGCATCTTGAATCGTACGATAGTTGGACTGTCAATTGTAAAGGTAACTTTGACAGGAAACGTCAATTGATTTCATTGTTTTGACCCTACGTTCCTAAATAGCCAAACACATCTCAGGTACATTTGAGAAAAATTCAAATAATTGTTACATATTAACATGTAAAAGAAATTGCGTGAAGAACATGACGAAGCAATTGCTGTAATATAAATTGTTATACTGAAAAAACTCGAAAGAAAAGTGAATTTGATCAAACGTTATCTTGTTTATGATTTTAGGCTTTGTTTTGGTTTACAGCTTAACGACTTTAAAATAAATTCTACACTTTTAAAAATTTATTACAGTCATGAATTCATTGATTACTGAATTCATTTTTAACAAAAAGAGTAATAATTTTTGGATATTTGTTTCTTGCCATGTTATATTTGATATTATTAAATAAAATTGTAACATTTGTATTTGATATTATAAAAAAATTGTAAATAAATAGTTCAATAATTCGAAAGTTATTAAACTTGTTAATTATCGTAATAGTTTTATAAGGAAAAAATAATTGTCAAAACTTTTTTATTCAAATGTGGTAAGCAGCTTTTAATGGGAAGGATTATGCGGGGAAGTACCACGGTTTCACAGAACACCGGCGTGAAGTGAAAGTATTATACTTTCGCGTAAATGTTGTCAACATCCACAACCCCACAAGTATAGCAGATGTTCATAGGTGGTGGTAATCGCTAACATTAGGTGAACCGTTTGGTGGCTTGACAACTTTTCACATAAAAAAACCCTTTTTTACGATTTCATTTTAGAATATTTAAAAATGATATGAAGGCTCTTTTCGTTGAGGTATTATAGTCATGTATGTGTAAATATAATGGTGCTCTTAAGTTACAAATTGTAATCTAGTCTACAGATCTATTAAAATATTATAGTAAATAATGGTGTTTTATTTCTGTCATGTCTGCAGGATTGATAGTCATCATCGTCCTCCTGTTCTTATTCAACCTTAGTGGGCTCGGCACAACATTATCATGTTGTTAGTGGTACTCACTGGGTTTTTGACAGGCCTAGGCAATAAATGGTCAGATCAGAAACAATTATTTATCCGTGGATCACATAAATACGAGCCCCATGTCGGAATCGAATCTACCACCCCCGCTGCATAATCCAATAACTTACAAACTGCATCACTGTCACTAAACCATAGTATCATCACTACACAGTATGAAATAAAGTCGTCCCGCAGTCTGTCTGTCCCTATGTATGCTTATATCTTTAAAACTATGCAACTGATCTTGATTTGTTTTTTTTTTTTTTACTAGATAGAGTGATTCAAGATGGTTTACATGTATAATATATGGCACCCGTGCGAAGCAGGGGCGGGTCGCAAGTCATATAGATATAAATCGTGCCCTGATAGCTCATTGTCGCGGCGCTGACCGCAACAACTACACTCACTTAACATTAACAATCTTGTTAATTTTAAGTGAGTGTTTTACTATTTATTTATATTATTATTTATGTAATTTTTTTATAGTTAGTGAAAGTTGAAAAGAATATGAAAATTCAATGCTTAAAGTTACCTCATATTAAGTATCCTTACAATGTTGTAAGTTTACACTTTTTGGAAAATATGTCTTAAAATAAATTATAATATACATCTTTTAGTTTATTATTATATTTATCTTTATTTATCCTTTTCTTTTAAATAATTCCTTTACTTTCTCTTTTTTTAAAACATCATCAAACAAACATTTTTCATCATCAATAGCCCTTAGGTATGTAGGATGATGTGTTATAAGGAATTATATCATGAGTTTTAAGGAATGAACCAACATCAGCAACAATACTGGTCAGGCAAATATTTGACCCTTCGAAATCTAACCTTATTTAATTATTTAGCTGCGGCACCAAGCGTTATCTATGTAATTTGAATTAGTAGCAAGATAATTTTTCACTATGTTAAGATTATGATTTAATTTTAAACAATTCCTTTCCTTTCTCTTTTTTAATAACACTGACCTTATTGTAGAATAATATTGTCATGTTTATATTCATGTTTCATTAAATGTACGGAAACAACATCCGCAACAAATACGGGTGAGGCTAATAATTGAGGCTAATAATTGATTGATTGAATATTAATTGCTTAACTATTTATTATTTTATTTTATTTTATGCGAAAAGTTGTCAAACGAGCACACGGTTCACCTGATGTTAAGTGAATACCGCCGCCCATGGACATCTGCCACACCCGAGGGTTACAGATGCGTTGACAACCTTTTGAAAATTGGGCTCCGGCTACCTCACTCACCAGACGAAATGCGAAAGTATTTGTCATACTTCCACTTTACGCTGGTCTTCTGTGAGGTCGTGGTACTTACCCGGACGGGCCTGCCCATTCGTGCAACAGCCGAGGCTGCTCCGTGGCCCTACCACCGTTATCTATCTACCGTTAACTATCGCGCTAACAGTTATCTGTATAATACAAAGTTGGCAATAGGTTAAGTTTTCTTTATGTTAAGATTAAGATATATTGGGCATCTAAAAATAGTTTATTCAAAGGGAATTGGAAATGTTTTTTTAATTATCTATATCTATTTAGATCAAATATCTAGAAATAATATTATTTGAAAGGCGAAGAAACCTATGAATTACGAAATGGATTTGAAAGTATTCAAATAAAGAATTGTCAGCATATATTTTGAAGACGCAGAGTAATTAGGATATAATTGGTTTAAATATTATGACGTCAGCTGCCAAAAAAGAACGATTAAAAGTAATTTAAAGTTATTCTCAATTCTGACAACATTGGCTAACGTCACAACGCGATCTGTAAAAGATGACACACGTGTATTGTGTCATGTCTGATGTCAAACTCAATTGTTAGTTTGTCAGTGTCAAAAGTCATAATATTTTCATAGTTCATTAATACTATTGTCGCTAAGTTTTTTTAATATGAATTGGAATAATTTTGGCTCCGAACAATCATAATTTAAATGTTGTGATTGCGTTTTTGACGTAAGAGTAAATAAATACGTATGATACTATTACAATGAGTGATTCTAAATCATACGTAAACTTCTCCTGCCAGCGTTGTCTTCAACCCTTGAAATTAGACGAATCATTGAATAACTTGGGTGAGCACACGATAGCCGATTTAACACTGCAGATACGCAGGAATAATGAAGCTGATCTGGATTTGCAGTCTGCGAGTTTGGAGCATTATGTTCCACCCTTTAGAATGTCTGAATCAGGTAATTTATTCACAAGCGCATATTTTACCACAAATAAAAGTTGTCTTAATCTGGAAATTAAGTAAATCAAACTTATCAGGTTGTTAATTATAACTAAATTTATTACACTAAAACCAACATTATAAGACAGGAAAGGTGTTATGAGTTGCCACATAATTAATCAAAGCCGCAACCTTTCACTATTTTGCAAGATTTTGCTCTTTTTAAACATACATAGCTTTTTTAAAGTTTTTATTGTGCTAATCTCTGCACTTAATAATTTTAATTTTTAATACATAGCTTGATTCCCCCAAAGTACCAACATAGTTTAATATGAAATAATTTTATAAACATATAATTTCTCTGACTAGGTACTGGAACTTTTAAAGAGGCTTGTTTATTGGCTTTCTATGTAGGTGGCTTATATACTCTTTGATTATGTGTCATATGTAAAAAAAAGAATATTTAAAAATAGTTAATTCTCAAATCTCTAGTCATAGGTTAGTTATGCTGTTACCCTTTTAGGGTTGAATATCTGTAGATAGAAATGAACAAATTTGGCTTAATTTAGAACTTGACTGTAATAATACTCTCAAATTATGTAGCAACTGTAGTTTATAATCATATGCTTCAATAAGCATTACACTTTCCTTGCATACATTATATTCCCCCTTATTACAATTGTTAAGGGGAAATAAAAAGTACAAATATATCATTTGCAATGCTTCATGATATAAAAAAAACGAAAATAAAACACAAAAAATCCATGTATTGGTTTTATTCAACAAAAAAAAGCTTCTCGTAAAGTTTTCTTCATTAAGAAGATCATTCTGATCAATTCAGAGAGTTTAACAACACTTTTGGCAACTCAAATAACATTTGAAAAGCCATTTGACAGCTGATTAGTTTACTTCTATTATGATCACACCTGGTTCCTGGAAATATGATTGGTTCCCAGTTCCTGATGGGTGACAGTGTTTCAGAAACCAGGTGTTTGTATGTTAAATAGTTATAAGTTTTTATAATCTTAATACTTCTATGATGTTATTGAATTCCAGTTTAATACCAGGGTCTTCATTTTATAGGCAATGGGGCAAATGGATTCATGGTGATCTCTGATGGCTGGGAAACAACCTCGCTAGGCCACCAGTTGCATGTGAAGGCAACATTATATGATTTATTGTCTAATAACTCTGATGTTGACCATCCACTTTGTGATGAATGTACGGACACTCTTTTAGAATTGATGGATAATCAGTTAAGTCTTACTGAAGCAGAATGGAAAGATTATAATGACTATTTGAAGAAGCTAGAAGATGATAAAGAGGATTTAAACCTTGAAGGATTAGAGAAAGAGCTGGAAGATTGGAAGCAGGAACAAAGCAGATTATTACAAGAGCTATCAGCATTACAGAAGGAGGAAAGGGCTATGAAAGATGAAATAGATGTGCAAGAAAGAGAAAAGGAAAGATTAGAAAGGGAGCAAGATATTTACTGGAAAGAGTACACAAAGTATCGCAAAGATTTAATGACAACAGAGGATCAGATGAAGTTCTATGAATGTCAACTTTCGTACACCCAGTCGCAACTGGAAAAATTAAAGAAGACTAATGTGTTCAAAGCAACATTCCACATTTCAGATTCTGGGCAATTTGGGATAATCAACAACTTTCGGCTAGGCAGACTGCCTACTGCCCCAGTCGACTGGTCTGAAATTAATGCAGCATGGGGCCAAACCGTCTTGCTTCTCTCGTCCTTGGCAAGGAAGATTAATTTCTGCTTCCAACGCTACCGTTTGGTTCCATACGGTAATCATTCCTACATAGAGGTTTTAGAAGATCAGAAAGTTCTGCCCCTGTATGGATCAGGGGGATTCCGATTTTTATGGGACACTAAGTTTGATGCAGCAATGGTAGCATTTCTGGACTGCTTGCAGCAGTTTAAGGAGCAAGTTGAGAAGGGTAATAACGGTTTTTGTTTACCATATAGAATAGACAAAGGTAAAATCGAGGATACAGCATCCCCACCTCATGCATACTCTATCAAAATTCAGTTTAATTCAGAAGAACATTGGACAAAAGCATTAAAGTACATGCTGACGAATTTGAAATGGGCACTAACATGGATCTCTTCACAATTTAGCGAGGATAAAGCTGAAGAACCATAAAGATTAAGATGTTATTAAAAATCTGTGATATTGGGCTCTATTTCGTTGAATATGGCTGAAAAATTGTAATTAAATAATACTTCTCCAAGGGATTATATAATTCTATAAAAATAATGTAAATTTAAAGTGTAAATAAAGTTCGTAATATAAATAAAAATATTGTTTTTTAAAAAATGCGTATTATAAGAAACTAGCTGACTCGGCAAACGTTGTTTTGCCATATAAATTATTTCTAGAGGAATCAAAACGCACGCATAAAGTGTTTGACAGGTTTACACAGACAAAGTTGACAGGTACAGTTTGTATGGGAAAATAAAATTGTTTCTATTTCGATTTTCCTTGCAATTTTTCCATAATTTATCATCGTTTAAACCTTCCCTGGACTGCCACAAATATTTCGAAACCATAATTAGCCTAGTCGGTCCAGCCGTTCTCGAGTTTTAGCGAGACTAACGAACAGTAATCCATTTTTATATATAAGAGAGATTACCCAAACTGTTTTAAAATTGATATCAGCGCCATCTGTACAGTTTACGATGAACCATGTTTACAATCTTCGGCAATTGATGGAACTATGTGAAAAGTTTAGGGTTATTAGAAAAGATGGCTTTTTAATAAACTACAGATATGTTATTTAATAATAAATTGTTGCAGTTTTAGTTTATTTTAAAACAGTGATAATGAAATTTAATTTAGTCAGTTCATGTGAAACGAAAAAATAAAATTTTTGTTGAGTAGTTATTTAGATTAACAAAAGCACAAACTAAAATGAAACTTCCTTTACGTATTACAACTCCCCAATGAAAACGTAAGTAGTACCAGATGGAACGTTTAATATAAATGCAAATTTCGAGAACAAGTGGAAAGTGTCACAAAATGCAATTCAAGGGACCTATTAACTTTTTATGACGTTATGGAATTAAACTTCTAGTTCAGTGATAAAAGTTACAGAGTTTTTAAAGTGTGTTTAAAGCTTACATACAATGAGGTAAGGTAATGAGTACTAAAATATTAATATACTATTATTAAGCTATCGGCATTGATTTGAAGACAAAGTGTGTTTGTTTATAGAGGGAACTCGAAGTTAATAAAGCCGGAAATAAATAAATAAAGCTGTAATGCGCACTTTGTACATTTATTTAATAAAATGTCTTTGCTTTCAGCCCGTAGATTATTAAAGCTTCATAGAACGTAGATCTCGTGGGCCTCCGCGTTGGGTAGGGCTGTGGCAAGTCATAATATTTATAACATTACACGTGAGTTATCTGTGGGGAGGAATGTGACTCGCCGGCATGACATTGATTGAATTAATCGCTTGCTGGTAGCGGTGACAATCGCCCTGGGGGTTGTCGGAGCTGTTGCAGCTAAGTATTTTTATTTATTTGGATGGCACCTGAGCAACGTCTAATGGTAAATGACGATCGACGCTTATAGACACAACAATAGAGATGTGAAAGGCGTGTTGCCAACCGATGAGATTATCTTCCAGAAATCTCACTCAGTAATAGAAATGCTAAAGTACAAATATGTCTTCACAGTCTCAAACTGTGCAATTTCTTCGGTTGATTTGGCTTATTCTTCCAGTAGATACTTATTTTAATTGTTGTTCTACCACAGTAAACGAGTTTACCATCTACTTTAAAATGCTTTATTTGGGGTATTTGTCTAAAGATTGCGGCCAACTTTGTGTTGTGATGTGTATTTCTTGGTAATTTACAATATTGCCTTAATAAAGTGTTAATTTCTTAAAATTATTGTTGATAGATTATGTAAAACGTCATTGTGGCGGTACAAAACATACCACCAGCTCTTTTCTTCTTTGTTATGAGATCGATATCGTCGAGGTATGCTAAGCCGTAAACTATCGCTAAGCTAAGCGTTAATATCAATCTGGCATATGGTTATACGAGGAAAATATAATAAATATGCCCATATACCTGTTGATATTTTTGGATTGAACAGTCATCATCGGAGGCGTTTCAATAATACAACATGGTGATGGGGTGAATACCAAAATACTTTCACTAAAAACTTACATAATATAGATAAATAAAAACTATAACCGTTTTCTCTTAAGATAGTTAACATTTAACGCATTACGATCAGCGGTATCATTACGTTTAAACTTTTTCATCCGTGTACACAAACAGTTTGTTACATTAGTATGAGTTAGGAGTTAGTTTAGTTTAGTTTACGGATGGATCTATCAACAGGCGATAATTTCACCACGCCGTAGGTTTCCACGCCCCTTAATTAGTTCTCGTTAATACGTTTGTAACTTTACCCGTAATGAGCGTCCCTTGTTTCGTTTTCAGCGCACCCAGGCTAAGTTAATTAACCAAATTGTAGGCAACTAATTGATGTTTCGGTTGCGAAGTCGCGTGCCGATGATCGAATCTATGGCACTAATTTAACATGTTAGATTACAGAACGTATACGTTGCTGGCACTGTGCTAATATTTTTAAGAGGAAGGTTGTGAAGAGGGAACCCCAAGAACTAGTTGGTCGTGGAAAAAACCTACACCGTCGTACCAATCGTACTCCGAATTCGAAAAAGAGTTGGTGACTATTAGGGCTAGAATGCTCACACTTCACTAAGTGAGAGAATACTTAAGCCCTAAAGTATCAGCCTATACATGTCCCACTGCTGAGCAAAGGCTTCCTCTGTACAGAGGGTATCAGGACTTAGTCCACCACGTGGCCTAGGGATGCCGAAACCGATATATCGATATAAAAATTGAATATCGAAATCATATCAAAAACGATATTTTTATTCAAACTGATTCGAATCCGTAAAAGATAAAAATGAACGAAAAAAAAACAGTTGTTGTAGACTAGTATTGTCGCGGATGCTGTGTTGCATTTTGGATTATAATTATGGTATTTATAATATCCATTTCTAAGGTACAGCATGTTATGGAGGCGTTACAAATCATTAATATTAAACTACAAGTTAAGCTCCTTTATAAATAGCAAAATATTAATGGCATCAACGAAAGTTACTTTAATTTAACCCACACTATAATATTATTAATGCAATTGCAAAAGTAACTCTGTCTGTCTGTCTCGCTATCACCCCTAAACTACTGAACCGATTTAAATGAAATTTGATACACAGATAGTCTAGAGCCTGAAAAAGGACATAGGTATTTTAATTAATTGGAAAAAACTTCAACGCGAGCGAAGCCGCGGGCGAAATGCTAGTATGTAAATAAAGTGAACAAGATTTAATTATAATCAAATTTTCAATATTTAAATGTGATATAATATAATATCGAGCTTTCAAAAGAAAATTATTTGTCGTCATAAAATTTATTATCATTTAACCACATAAGTAACTTTTTTAAATTGTCGTTCAGCCTTTTCGTGTCAATCAAACAACTATTACTAAATACTGTCTCTGCGGGTTTCTTTTAGACAAATTATTAATTTCATATTAAAAAATTCTTTCTTTTTTTTTTAACAAAGTTAAATGTTTTTATTAGTTATTTTTGATTTTATTCGGAGCTAAAGAAACTGATTTATCTTACTAAATAAGCTTTTTGTTTTTTGTCCAATGAAGGTCTTGATAAATGATATACGTAGAAATTTAGATTAATAAAGGAAATTTGATTAAAATTAATAAATAAATAATGTTTTATTAAAATTTCTCATTCATTAAATTTATGTGAATTTGGTATAAAAATTACTATTACTTATTATTGAATCAGACTGAACTAAATAAAAAATTTTTTAAAACGGAAAATTTGACTGACATATCGATATTTTTTTTCGATATATCGTAGCCGATATTGATATTTTTATAAATATCGATATATCGATTTTTCTTATTATTATTTGGAAGATAATACTCGTATGTAGGTTTCGTCACGATGTTTTCATTCACCGCTGCACCGAGCACGTAATAATTCAGCTCTTAAAATTAACAATATCATTGGTCCCGAGCCGGAGATCAAACTCAGATGGCTCGAGTATCACTACATAGTCCCGCTTTCTGTCTGTCCCTATGTATGCTTAGAACTTTAAAACTACCCAACGGATCTTGATGCGGTTTTTTTACTAGATAGATTCAAGAGGAAGGTTTACTGTGGTAGGACCACGCAACAATTTTCACTGTTGCCCATGTTCGGCTATCACTTAACATCAGGTGAACCGTCATCTCGTTTGTCACTATCTCGCATTAAAAAAAAAGGTTAATGTGTATAATACATTGCACCTGTGCGAATCCGGGGCGGGTGGCTAGTATGGACTAACTAGTCAGTCTTTCGAGTTGTTGTTCGTTTCAGTATTTATGTTTTATCTATGGTTGCGACGCTCAGTAACGTCTCATTTGAATGCGGGCGAGAAAGATTTTGAATCAACGAAATGCGGGTGATTACCGAAAACAGAAGATTACCGAATCCTTCGCCTCAGGCTTTACAGTACCGTTTTAAATGATCAAAGAACGTTTATTCACATGACGTATAACGTAGAAGGAAGCAATCCATCACGCCGAGGTTGGTTTTTTCGTGGACTTAAAGCCGATGACAAACGATTTAATGGCGCCTCATGATGACAAATGACTGTCTAATATCATTTATCACTTATACAAAATTATTTACTATGTTCTTGAATATCTTTTTTATTTATGTAATCTTTATTGCGAACGTGTTAGTTACTAAGCCAGGATTTAATTCCTTTAGGTATTATCTCCCTGTGTACCAGAATAGTGATGAAAAAATGCGAAATGAAATATGTTAAGCTTAATTTTATTTACGAAAAAGGGATTGGAAGATCTAACAATACATTTATCATTAACAAATGTTTAGATGCTAATATATTTAGTTTGGTTATGCCACGAATATTAATTTTTCCCAAATTATTACCTATATTCATCCGTTCCTGTCGATTTGCTTAGAATTTTTTGAATTTGTGAATCTAAATTAAAAAAATAATTGTGAATCGAAACCATTTTCGAATCTATTCGAAAGCACTCAAAAAAATTCATCAATATCGGT